TGGAGTGGCTGGGCCCATGAGCCGTGGCCGCTGAGCCTGTGCATCCGGAGCCTGTGCTCCACAACGGGAGAGGCCACAGCAGTGAAAGTCCTGTGTACCGCAAAAAAAAAAAAAAAAAAAAAATACGTTTCTGTGCCCTTGGTCAACCTTGGGAGTGGAGGGAGAGGTGCCTTCTCCAGCCTCGATAAAGACCTGCCCTACCCCACAACCCATACACACAAATTCACAAATACAGTCTTGCTCTGTTAACCAATCAGATGCTTGCTTACACATGAACCATTCATCACCCCCTATGCAAATATTCCTTGCTTTAAGGAACCAACCAGTGCAAATTAATTCTTTTTTATTTTTTATTTTTTTTATTTTTGGCTGCATTGGGTCTCATTGCTGTGCACGGGCTTCTCCTTGCGGTGGCGGAGCACGGGCTCTAGGCTCATAGGCTCAGTAGTTGCAGCGCATGGGCTCGGTAGTTGTGGCTCGTGGGCTCTAGAGCACAGGCTCAGTAGTTGTGGTGCATGGGCCTAGCTGCTTCACGGCATGTGGGATCTTTCCGGACCAGGGCTCGAACCTGTGTCCCCTGCATTGGCAGGCGGATTCTTAACCACTGTGCTACCAGGGAAGTCCCGCAAATTAATTCTTAACTACAGGCAAGTAGATGTTACCAATGAAAGTAAATGCTCCCTTACCTTAAAATAATCCTAGTGATATGGAGACTCAAAATTCTGGTTGGGGCACAGGCACAAATTACCAGGACCTGTTAGTGACAGGACTCCCGAAGAAAATACATGAGGCTGACATTGACATAAATAAATATTGTAAAATCTCTCTAATCTGACGTGATTGGGACTGAGTAATTGAAAGGTTGGTTATAGCGAAATTATTAGAAACCACACATACATTTTTTAAACATTTTATTTTAATTTAAAACTTGTAAATATATATTTGTTCACCAGTCTGTCCTGTGTAAACCACCCCCCACAACACATCATCTATAATTCCGTTTCTTTAGAGTAAAGCAATGACTGTGAGACATTCAAGAAGCCATCGGAATGAGCTCTTCCAGATTTTTATGACCTATTTTCTCAATTTTTCAGTTTTCTCTTCGATGCCTAATTTCACAGCAATTTTTCAAAAGTCAGGGTTATCTGGTCTCTTCCAAGCATTTCACTTAGTTTCCATATAAATCACAACTCACTTTTTGAACTCATGTTTCATCGGTTACATGTTTAATCAATTTACATAATTACAATACAAGCACAACTGGCATACACAGGTTTGGGAACAAAAAGGTTGAATTGGGATGAGTGCTAGTGGTGAGTGTTCAGGGCGCCCCATACAGCCGTCAGTGTGTTTCACGGAGGGAATGGCAACATCCGTTCATCTTCCCCTCAATTAAGAGAGCTTCAATCATAGATGGTGACTGATAGTTCGCAATTTATACACTTGGCTCTGTGTATTTTGCCAATTCTTTTGGCACTTCTCTCACACTCCTATAATATATTTTTTCTGGAAAGTTGGAAGAGGGATCCTATACCTCCCCCTTAAGCAGAGGTCACCCTTGTGCTGAGAACCAATCAGTGCTGCCTACCAAAATATTTCCTCATCCTCTGGACCCGCTGACACTGCTGGTACAAAAGCATCCTTGACTCGGGAACTGATTAATGTTGGTCTTGGAAGTGTCTTTCCACACTTCCTACTTCTGCTTCCCTGGGAGATTTTTTCATTGGGGTTGGTGGGCAGGTCAAGCAGGGTGGGGACCAGGGTGAGGCAAGCAAGCACTCACTTTGGGGGCAAAATCTAAGGAGGCACCACAAAACTCAGTAACCAAAATGAATACTTAAATGCAATATGTTTTAAAAATCAAACTTTTTCATAACGAACAAAATATCAAAATTTTAAACAAATGTAATTTTCTCTGAGTTGCCTGAGAGGTCTCTTTTGTTCCACACTCACCCCAAGATTATGATCCTAGATCATAATCCACCAGACACTCGAAAATAAAGTGCTAGGTGATTCAAAATTAAAGTAGGATGTGTAAAGTTTCCAGACAGATTGTGGAGCCAGACAATCCCTGCTCTACCACATAGTAGCTGTATGAGTGGAGCAACCCAATTTACCTTTCTCGGTGGGTAATATTTAAAATGTACAACAGCCCTTATGGCGTGGACCACATTGTACAAATTTCTATTGGTTGCCTTAGTTTACTCATCTGTAAAATGGGAATAATAATAGTGCCTCATGGGATTGCTGTGATTATGATGTAAGCTGATTCACACTCTGAGCTCAAAACAGTGTCTAGTATATAATAAGTGTTCAAATTATTAGACATTTAAAGTGTTAGCTATTGTAATTGTTAATCATCCCAAGAGCCCCTGACAGGCATTATGGCATTATGATCCCCATTTTCTAGACAAGGTAACTGGGGCTCAGAAAAGTTACATAATTGCCCAAAGTCACCCCGTTAGCCTGGCGGAAAGTGGAGATTCAAATTTGGTTCAACCTTTGCTCTTTAGCTACCCACAAATTATATGGCCACACTTAGCCACCCACAAATTATGTTTCCATGTTATTTCAAATTTTCACATCTGTAGGATGGTTTCAGCCTATTTTCAGATTTTGGGGGTGGGGTCATCCTTTTAGGTGTCTTTTTAAATTTTGTCTAATTTTAAGCATTGTTTAAAAAGCCAGTTCATCTAAGGCCCCTTAAATGTCAAGCAAACAAGAAATGCCACGTTGGATAATCAGAAATGAGGATGTTTGGAGAAAAGCAGGCATCATTCCTGC